CTTCACGGTCAGGGCGGCTAGGATCTGGAACCAACTTCCAAGAGAAGTGGTGCTGGCCCCTACCCTGGGGGTCTTTAAGAGGAGGTTAGATGAACACCTTGCTGGGGTCGTTTGACCCCAGTACTCTTTCCTGCCATGGCAGGGGGTCGGACTAGGTGATCTACTCAGGTCCCTTCCAACCCTAGAAACTATGAAACTATGAAATCAGACAACAAGGGCCATCTAGCTCAATATCCTGTATCTCACAGTGGCTGAGTGTGTACTAAGGATAGGGGTATATATGCAGAGCCCATCCAGATGGATCTATCCCCTACCCCTCTTCCTTTGCAGTTTCCAACATTCAAGGCCTAGGAAGTTCTAATTTGTAGGCTGACCCCCAAACATGTTTAACCAATCAAGTTTAACTGAGTGGTCAAGGTGGTGTTTTATGGTTTATAAAGGACTTGTATATGCTAATCTTCAGGCCTATTCTTGATGCCTTTCAGAATGTGTCTATTAAGCACAAGTCTTATCCTCTGCTGGGGGTCTTTTCCAAAGCTTTGTCCTGATACTGACATTTCTGATTTAAAAACTGATATTCAGCTGTGCTGTCACAGGACAATTCTCCCACATCCATAAATCTTCATTTCTAGTTCTCCTACTGATTATGTATTAGTCCCTCCTGCATCCTTTGCCCATCTTCTCAACCTCTCAAGCCCTTCCTGATCGTCAAACCTCTGTATGAATTGGGGTCATCATATACCTCTCACTAACCCCTAGATAATTCACGTATGTCAGTCTCATCCTGGTGATTGTCAGCAGACTTGTATACAACACCCCTATGTAATCTGTAGAACTTGGTGCCGAAAGGAAACATATTCAGTCCTTCAACGTACATATGCACCTTTATTCATAACCCAGTGGCAGCTCTTTGGGTGTGTCAGTTAAGCATGGACGTGCAGTATGACCAGTCTGTGGTGCCACATGCTGCACATGCAGGCGGTTCCAGGGTCAAAAAACCCTATGTCTTAAAAAAAGCAGAATTGGCACATGGCAGCAGCGCGTGCTGCCCAAAACCAGAACCTGGCCAGCCCAAGTCATGTTCCAGGTGCCAGCCAGGCTCTCTGCTGGAGGAGTACTGTAGCTGTAGCTCCTGGAGGCCCCCAGGACCCTAGGTAAGGCTTCTGGAGCCAGCATAGTTGCTGGTCGCAGTCTCTGCTACCCCACCCAGGGCAAGGTGCCACACACCAGAACACGTGTGGTATGGGTGTTCCCTGGGGACAAATAGCAGCGGCACAAGATCTGCTGCTGCTTGTTCCTAGGGAAACACACTTTCCTTCTCATGGGGATATGCCCCTTGAGTCTACTCAAGCTGGAGTTAATACATGTAAGTCCTAGGATTTAAGCCTATGGAACAAAACTCAGGACTACTCTTATTTTTGACACTGCCATTATCGAATCAATGGCTATTACCAGATCCTGAGGCAGAGCTAAAGCTGCATTATAGTGGTTAACTCCTACTTTTCATTTCCTATTTCTGAGAGATTTGAGTGTTGCTGAACTCAGTGGTCTGGAAGAGGAGAGGTCATCAATGGACAGTCTTAAATCTGCATCATTGAAGTTTTTGGGTAGTTAATACAATCTGTTCAGAGGTTGGGGGGGTTTGGTATTTTTTGTATTTGTATCTTAAGGTATATTTTGTATTTTAAATTTAAGGAATAAAATTGGGCAGGGAAGATGGGAAAGAGGCATTTCTATGGTATCAAACATTAGCAATCCTCTTATGTGTATCCTTAACTCAGAATTTCTTGAGATAAGCCTCTGATTACAGAAAACGGCATTAGCTCATTTTATATACAGATAGAGAAACTGAGTGAATCAGTAGCTGACAGAAGTAGGTCTCCAGCCCTGTGCCACTGGTTCATCCTGCTTGTAGCTTACCCTAAATCCTGAGGGCAGAGCTTCTTAATATTTGAAAATAATGGGCTGTCCAGAACACTTGGCTTGAGAATATATGTGCAAATAGTCTTGTGCCTTGCAGCTTTTTGATCTTATTGTCAAAGAAAACTGCTGTATGTATTCTTTTGGGTTTGTCCACTTAGGAGTGTTAGTTGTGGTGCACCTGCTTTTAGCTGTGTGCTGTATAGAAAATGCCTGCCGAGTTACAAGCCTGCCTTCCAAGCCTCCAGATAGCTAGCATCTGATCAGTCTAGTTTCTAGGTTACCAGATACCCAGCTGGTTATGCACAGCAAAATAGAAGGAGAAACATGTTTTCTTTTCACTTATTTAATTATGTTTTCATATTTTACATGAGAAGTTGACCTGTATTGAAAATAAATATTTAGTTTCATGAAAAAATAAGGTTCTTTCCCCCATATTATAAATAAAATACCTCTAAGAGTCTTAGTTAATTGAGATGCAAATTCCTAATTTTGTTAAAATATACTGTCATGTAGTATAATAAAATCTAATACATGCCACCATGTAATTATGCATATTAACTAGAGATCAGTATGTGTGTATTGTGGGGAGGACCAAGGAGGAGAATTGTGTATTCAGCTGGCCTTCTGCACCTGCAAAAAGCAGACAACTCCTTTCACTGTGGAGGAAACAAGATAATGACAGCATGATATTAAATACAAACGTTAATTCTGTGGAACAAAACACAAGGAAGAGGTCTATCAATTAAGATACGTTATTGTGAACAACTTAAATTATGTTTCGTGCCATCTTAAAGACAAATAAGAGACCAGCGGAATGAAAACCTTAATTTGTTATTTACCACATTGTTGTTAAAACCATTATTACTACTTTGGAAAAGATTTATGTGGGCTATTTAAGCTCTTGTTTGTGATGATAAACTCTCTGTATGTGTGTGTGTGTGTGTATGTATGAGACTTTATTTGGTTTTGAATGAGATAATAATGAAATCCTTAGCCTGGCTGATGTAATGTTTCTTTTCTTAAACTAACAGAGCAACATCCTACTGTGAGAAAATAGAAATCTTAACATTGGGCACTTTTTATGAGCCTTACTAAAAAGGCTATTAGCTGGGTGCCCTGCAAAAGCATTTGAATATGATGGAAAAATTGAGTCCTGTCGAAATCCTTGAACTTACATAGAGAAACAGGTATCTGTCACTCATGGCTAGAGGAAGTCAGTAAAGAGAATAATAGTCTGTTACTCACATTGATCAACAGTGCCTCCTTAAGGTAATCTACTGACCATCTGGAAGAATGTTATAGTTCTCAAGAAATTAGCACTTTTCCCAACTGTCTTACCTACTACTCTTTTTATTTCAGTATGTTTTATCTGGGAGAAATCACTGTGAGAATTATGTCAGTCCCCAGTGACTGATCTCTGCCGATGTTTGGCTCTTTCCAACTGGGCTTCAGACCTGGGATGTGACTTGGAGATGGCTCAGGCTATTGGAGTTAGTAGCAGTTTGATAGAATTGGTCACACAAGATGAACTGGAGATGTGGCAAGAGCAGACAATACAGCACTAAATTGCTGGAAATAATCTCCCGCAGGTAAATGGCATGCAGTCATGATGGGCGAATGATGCTTTTTATGACCAGCTCTTTTTATCCTCTTAAGAGAACATTCAGTCAGTGCTGTCACCTAGTTGTCATAGTACCTCTTTGAGAGTGGTACATATGTTTCAAGCTTAATCCAGATAAAGGTGATACTAAAGGATGAGGGTAACACCTGGAACAACTCTCTTAGTAAACAGGATACAGTTGTCAAGTTTTTCTGCAGTGGAGGGTCTGATCGGGGTCACTGCTTAACATGTTAACATTTGAACTTGCACATAGCAACAGTGGTGACGATAGTATAAATGATTACTTGCTTTTGTGTTCAAAACATTCCTTTAGATCCAGACTAATTTCATTATAGGTAATTGAATTACCTTGATTTACATCAGTAAGTGAAAGCAGAATATGGCCCATGCAATTCTGATTCATCATGCTAGAGTATTAGTCTTCATTGCAGGAGTGCAGCAGAGGAAAATTTCCAACTAAACAGCACACCGGCTCATAATAAAGAGTGCGTTAACAATAATTAAATACAGTGAAATCAAGAGGGAGAACACAGTTCATGCTTCCATTATACAAGAAGAACATTAATATGCAATTAACATTAATATGCAATAATCATTTTCACAGACTGACAATCCCAATCCGCATTGTAGAAATATACAATTAAAGCATCAATGTAACTCAGAATAAAGGTTTCATATAGACCATGTTACAAACCAATGACTATATATATTTGAATAACATGCTCTGCATGAAATCAGATGGCTATAAATCCGAACATAATCACTGTTCTAGCAAATCACAAAATGAACAATGTCTAACTTAGAAGATATTACAACAATGGAAGTAATTCACTAATGTTAGTAGGATCTAATTTAATGGACTATATAGCAGCTAGGAGGAAAATCTTGTTAGAGCACTTATTTTTGTCCTTAGACATTTAGTTATAGGGATGGGGAAACATTTCTATCAAGTTTGGTAACTAGCCACTCAAACAGTTTAATTTTTATATTTAATCAATACAAATAAACAAAAAGGAACAAAGAAATCTATGTTCAACCCAAATTGTGTGTCCTCACTGCCACAGCTAACTGGCATGGGGTCCCACTATCATTATCAATGTGACTTCCACTAGAATAAACAGAGCTACTGTTGTTGCCTGTTTTCAGTTCATCCAGTAGTATATTTTTATATTGCTTTATGCTGACTTCATTCCTGGTCCAAAGCCCACTGAAGTCAATTAGTCTTTCCATTGACTTCAGTTAGTATTCGATAGGGCCCTTGGGAAACTAAATGAATAGCAACAAGGGGAGTCATTTGTTTCCCTTCAGCAGTCCATCTGTAAACTGAATGAGCATCAATATAAAGATTATTTAATATTTTATCTGTCGTCTTAGCTGCTTGAAGAGTACCCAGCACAGTGGGTTTCCAAGCTTGGTTGAAGCTCCTGGAAGCTACTGTAATAGAAATAAAATAATAATTATTTTCTTGTCCTGGTGCTGGATTATTAGTATGTATAACACAAATTCTCATTAAGTTGTAGACTCCAGAAGTTAATGATTAATGCTTGTTTTTAAAGAGCCACTGACAAATTATTCTTAAACTTTAAGAAGCACAGTTTGGATTCTTGCTCCTTGATATCTGTCTTTTGGTTCTGGCCAGGAATGTGAAAAATAATATAGGGTATTTTTAATAGTCTTGTGCTTGGAGCTGTTTTACCAGTGTAACTCCATTGCCTGTTACTGAGTTACTCTAAAATGCATGAGATCAGTCTAGTTCTTATTAGCGGTGTAGATACTGCATCTTTGTTCACACATTATAGTACATTGATTTTGAAATTAACTTTATATACATATTATTTGCTATTTTTTTGCCTAATTTTAATTACAAAGTCTTGTCAATTTCATAAAAATGCTGTCTTATACTGGAAGCCATCTCACTATAGCAGTAGCTCAGTGAATGCCAAAAATAGTCAATGGTTGCTGATTAACATGTAAAAATGGAAAGAACAAAAGCATCTTGAAGCATTTGCCCTCACAAATTATATTAACTGAAATCGCAATTCTTGGGCAAACAGACTGTTGTTTTAACTGACCATTTCTGACTGTGAATAGCATTTTAATGTCTGTGAATACAGCTATATAATGGAAAAATAGGCTTAACCCTTGCTCCATTTCAAGTCATTGCAGTAATTTTCTGAGATGGACCAATAGAGCATGTCCAGAAAAGTGTGCATGTGCATTTCCCTGGGAACAAGTAACAGTGGCACATAGTTGTGCCACTGTTACTTGTCCCCAGGGAATGCTCATGTACACACACTCTGGTATGTGGCAAGTTGCCCTGGGTAGGGTAGGGGAGGCTGGGGCCAGCACCTGGGCTGACCCGAGCAGCCTTACTGGGGTCCTGGGGGCCTCCCAGGGATTGAGCAGCAGCAATCTGGCAGCAGGGAGTCTGGCTGGTAGCCTGAGCATGGCTCTGGCTGGCCAGGCTCCAGTTTTGGTTGGCTCACGCTGCTGCCATGTGTGCTGCCCCGCTTTTGTAGCACAGGGTTTTTTGACATTGGAATCTCTCCAGTGTCAACCCCCCAAATTAGCAGCACAGGAAACACTTGCATGTGTGGTTTGTGGCATCACAGACAGGTATGTGATGCCGCATACCATATGTGCATGCTTGCCTGGAGACACACATAGAGGGGGACTGGTAGACAACTGAAGATGGATTATTTGGCAGCCACACTTTTATGTAAATCTATGTTACTGTGCTGGAAGGGAGGACAATGTATTCTTATTTCTCAACAGGTCAGGTTAGAAAATATTGATATGGATGGTTTGAGTTTATCAAGTTACTTATAGTTGCCAGCTTCTGCCAGGAAGTTTTTTTTTTCTGAAAAGGAAGTTACTGTTGCCATATTGGACACAGCAACTCTACCATGGTGCTTAAAGTTATATTGCCTCTCTTTTTGGACAGTACTCTAACTACCAGTGGAGGGCTGGGGGCATCCTCTAGGCAGGGCTGAGAGCATCCTCTGTCCCCACCTGATGATATTGGTCCCTGGGACAGCTAATGAATTTTTCATAAAAAGTTAGGGGTCTACCTACATCATGGCTGAAGAGTCCAAAATCTGCATCCAGATTGTGGCTCTGGCCACCATTTAAACAGTCTATTCATGGTGGGACCCCTCACCCCACTGATTGGCCAAGGGGCCCCAGGGGAGCAGTGCCCCTCACTGCTCATTGGCCAAAGGGCTAAAATCATGGCATAATAACCCTGGTAAGCCCACAGAAGCCATTAATTGATGCATTATAAAGTAATCTAAGCATTCAGTTAAACTCTAAACTGAAATGTCTTATGAAATTAAAGCTATACACACTATACTATCACCATAATTTATTATTATTGTTGTAAAAAGGAATTTAACAACACTCATTGCTAACATTGAGACAGGCAATTCATGTTAGCTGTTAAATGCTAGCATGCAGCATCCACTGGAAGTTGCTGCTGGCATCTTCTGTCTCTATGGGGTGACTGTTTGTTCATACACAGAGATCATGTGCCAGTGCCCATCAAGTTGGTTGGAATGGTGAGGCGGTGTTTTGCCAGGGCATAGAGAAGTGGGAAGCAATCAGAAACAGACTCCCAAAACACAGTCACAATCAGAGGCAGCTGGCATTCCTTGACAAAATTTGTGTAAGCAGCACATTCCTTATTTTGCTCTTTCTGCCACCCAGGGATTGATTTCAGTACCTGAGGTTCAAAACTCAGCAAAGGCACCTGAGTGGGGTAAAAAATATGAACAGTACTAAGGAAGGAGGCAGGCGGTTGTTTGAACTACAGTGGTAGTGACAGCTTGTACTTGTAGTACTGGTTCAGCTTCACGGCTATTGCCTGGAACAGGTCCCTTCACCACTGGTTTGCATGATAGCTTGACAGTTCTTGTGATGCCATGTTTTCAATTCAGCTCATCAAATCCATTGACTTGTCATGTGCATGGTGGATCAAAGCCTGCTGGATTTCAAACCATGTTAGGAGCTCTGTGAACTGGGTGGCATTTCCCTCTACAAACTTCACTTGATCTTGAATATCTCCCTGTTCCAAGAGACTGTGTAGCTTAAGCATGCACTATGTGCTGGGTGTGATTTCTTGCTCCTTGGACACAAATTGCCAGTAGTACTGCATATTTCTGGCATGGTATCAGATCATGTTGGACCACAAATTCCACCTTGTGAGCACAGGCTCTGGTAGCAGTGACACAGTCACATAAGGATCCGCACTTTGACTGAGGGACTCCCTGTACTGGAGCTTACAGCCTGGACAGTGCTTGAAGGCTTTCTTGAAGGAGGAAACCAGGCTATCCACATCAGGGAACTGTGTGCACCAGATGTCACTGACTAAAGACAGAATGTGTGAATTGCAGGTGAGATGAGCTGCTTTGGGCATCATTCCATGGAGCACATCAGAGAGAGACTTGCACATATACATGGCATTGTTGGACAGAAATGCTGAGATCTTGTTAAATGCTAAGCTGTAGTTGACAACAGTCTTCACTACAGCCTGAGCCATGATAGAAAAATTGACGGATGTGAGGTGGACCAGCTGTGTTTGAAAAACAGGCAGATCCTGGTCTGTCCAGCTCCCAGGTACAAATAAAATGTGCATAATTATTTTGAGGGTCAGTAGCTTCATCAGCTGCAATGGGATTCATACACTGTCAATGCAAACTCTGTGGACCGTACATACAAAGCAATCACTAGATGGAAATAGTGTTGGTGAAGTTTGTTGCACATGGGAAAAATGAAGCATTTGGCATGTTTTTGTTTAGGTAGTCCCTTAACTTAGGGTGATCAATTTTCTCCAGTGGGATGTTACCACCATGAAAGCCTCTTTGCGGGAAAATGTCACCACTCACCTTTGCCAAATGGTCCTTTTAAAGAGCGAGGATGTGGTTGCTTGTTTCTTGCTCTGATCTTCAACCTCTGCAGTAGCCTTTCACTTTGTGCACCTTGGATTGTAAGTGTCGAGCTATGCTGTTTTTCCTCAACACATCCAGAGTCACATTGCAGAACAATTTGGCTCCATTTGTATGCAAGTTCCCTGTAGGATACTGTCTTATGCGATCCACATTGAAACATATTTTGCATTCTTGGAGGATTTCTTCTCACTGTTCATACTCCTCTGGCTGTAGCATGGTGCAGTAGAATGCATCTGGTTGTCTCCAAGATGGTGCTGCAGCCCTTTCACTTCCCTGATTGGCCCCTGACTGCTGTATGTATTCAGCCTAAGTCACAGGCTCAGCCTCTCATTGTCTCCCTCTCCTCAAATGCTCGAACGGTGCAGGGCTTCCCACCCTTTGCTTGTGGGTAAGTTTGTTTTTTTTTCAGGGAGATCTCACCAAAATTGCAGAGACTGATGTTTTTTGTGGAAGACACTTGATTTTGTGCATTCCACAAAAAAGTGCAAAATTGCAATTTCAGTAGGTCCCTACAAATAGTTAATTATTGAGCAAAATATATAAACAACAGTGAAAGCAAGGGCCAAAGCCCTGGGTTTCCTCTTTCCTTGGAAGATTGCCATGTCACTGTGCCACCAAGTTAGGCTCCCTCTAGGTTGCAGTCCTTCTGGCCCAATCATGGCATGTATCCCACACTTTTAAGATAGATGAAGTCTGAAATTAGTAATCTTTCCTTCCTCTTTCCTCATTCTGGAATTTCAACATTGTAAGAGGCACAATAAAAACATATGGAACTTGGGTTTTCAAAAAGCAGCAGCAGAAGTAGTTGGCAAAACCAGACTTCTGATTGCCGTCAGAATTTCAGGCTTTTAGGCAGACTTGGAACAGAACAGATGGGAAAAGTCAAAACTGATAATGGTGTTCCTAGTTAACACAGTAGAGGAGGTTAAGTCTGTAACTCATTCTTGCCAGAAGGTATTGTGTTTATTGTCTGATCTTTGCAACAAGACTCTTCCTTTGCATATTTTTACTTCTGTATAAAGGCCCTGATTCCACAAAGTGCGTAAGTATGTGCTGAAATTTAAATGTGAATAATCCATTCGATAGTAATGATCATAGTATTATTGCTTTCTGGGACTTTAACAAGAATGTTCATACGCTCAAAGTTAGGCACAGGCTTAATTATCTGCTGAAGTTGGACTTACATGAGGCGATGCCCCTTTGTATTCAGTCCTCAGCATTTTAAATATTGCTTACCTGTATTTAATCTCCATAAAGAGAATTTATAAAATCCGTGCTTACTAAACAGTAGGTAAATACATCTGTATCTGTATAATATCTCTGAAGGATATACGCATCTAGTATGGGAAAATGTATCCAATAATGCTATTTTACACCCAAACACAACTAAATAAAATGAATAATAAAGGCCAGACAGGGAGCCTGTTTTTTTTCTCTCAGGTACATAAATGTGAGACAGGTGGTATGAGAGGAGAACCAAAATAAAAAATCCCCCAATGGATCTGATTCTAATGTCTCACTGCTGGGACTGTGTTGGCTTCCACTGGATGCATCTACAAGTGTAATTTGCGCAGAAGAATAAACTCCAGTGCAGTTTGTGCTTGAGTCAGCAGCTCCCAGGCTCAGCATCTGCACATGTGCCTGGGACCACAGCACTTTGAGCCACGGTGAAGCAACCTCAGGCTGGCAGGGGGTCTGTGCATCAGCCCTGGGCTCTGGGTGGCAGTGTTGGGTAGAGGAGGGGCTGGCTGGGGCACAAGGGTGCTACAGTGCAGGGCTAGTTGGCAGGCAGCCCCTGCACTGTAGCACCTTGGTGTCCCAGCTAGCATCTTCTACTAGTGTGTTATTACTCCACCAGTGATGTAAATTACTCCACCACAGCATATTACTTCTTCCAGACAGTACCATCCTACAGAGGAATTAATTAATTTAATGTGAACTAATATAGGTACACAGTAAAGTGCATGTGTAGATGCATCCACTGAGTTTCTGCTGACGTACCATGTTGTGTATTCCTACTGCCATAACCCACATTCTCCTTTCACATGTTGTCTTCTTTTGTTTTACACCCTCCTGCTATATTTGTAACATAAAATATGATTAGGTCGTGGCAAGCAATGTTCCCTCTAAGGAGTAGTGGTCCGTGAGTGTACCGCTTTGGTCCCGCCTCCCCCTTTTGGTGTGGCGTGGGACACTTACCGAAGGTAAGCTCTTCACACCTCATCCGGGGCAGGCAGCAGGGCCTGGGGGCTAGGGCAAGGGCCTGGGGCCTGGGGTCAGCTCTGCCGGGGGCCTGGGGGCTAGGGCAGGTTCCGGTGGGGGCATGAGGCTAGGGACTGGGAGCTAGGGACTGGGGCCTAAGGCAGGCTCCACCGGGGGCCTGGGACCTAGAGCCTGGAGGCTAGGGGCCTGGGGTGGGCTCTGCCAGGAGCCTGGGGGCTAGGGGCTGGGACCTGGGGTGGGCTCCACCAGGCACTTGGGGGCTAGGGGCCTGATGGCCTGGGGTGGGCTTCACTGGCTCTGGGGAACTGCTCCACTCCCCTGCATTGCCTT